TCTTCAGAAGTGTGCTGTACTTGAAAACGATTCAACCATAGCTCTTGCATATATTTCATAATTTGCACCCTCTTTGGTTGACCACAAAGAGGTATGGGATTCTTTTAGGAAGGAAGGGAGCAAATGAGTAAGTCAGCAAGAATGGAAAGAATGAAGGAAAGCAGCTGTGGTATGAGTAGCAGTTTAATGCAGAGAAAGTGCAACTCTGAAAGACATTTGCAGCAACAACAGTCTAATGGTATATTTTTCCTGTTCGCCCACTTGGGTTCATATTATAAGAGGAAAAACTGAAAGGAAAAAATGCCATTCTTAGCATCCAGAAGGCAGACCTATCTTGTGCAGAACACTATGAATTGTTTATCTCTCATTAAAACTGAAAATCCCTTGAATAGGGATTCTTTTTTACCTTTTGGGCATTAATTCCTTAACACTATTACATAAGTGCCTGATTACTTGATACATGTTTTCTAGTCCTCTAGCTCAATAGTGAATGAATTTTATTTGGACCCAATAGGATCAGATGCTGTATCATTTTGCATCATCAATATCATTCTGATGCAGCTCAGATTTCTCTGACACATATTTGCAATCTCCATGTACAGAAATACTGATATTCCACTTAAATGTTTTGTTAGTACTGGTAGTGGTGCAATAAATAAAAGAGCAATTTTAGTTCTATGTAAACAAAGTATTCATTTTAACTGAACATGGTGTCTGCTAAGATAGATCTCTGTTTCTTCAAGCAAGCCATCTTTTTCTGAACAATCTGACAGATATTGATAGTACAGAACTGAACTGAAGGCAGAGGAGACATCCTTTCCTCTGAGATTTTCATCTTCCTTTGGGACTTCATTAAAGTTTGTAGAACGATACAGCAGGCCTGTGAGTCATTCAGGTTGCAATGATGCTTGGTGGTAGGAGATGAATTAAATCTCACTGTAGCAATGGGGGAAAGGTGTTATCATTCTGTTTCTGGGAGAACAGAGTAGTAATCTCACTGTGTGTCATCTAACAAATTAGTTCATGGTTATGATATCACATCCCAGAGCAAAATAGGAGAGAGCCTATTGGGGCACCTGAGTCTGCTGGCAGAATTTGCAAGTTTCACAATAGGAAAATTCAGCAGTGAGCTCTTGGGAAATTAACTCTAAGACTTGCTATAAGCTTAAAAATATAACCAGTTCTGCTTTTCAATGATTTATTACATATATGTTGTGTCATTTCCCCAACTCTTTCCAACTAGTTCTCAGAGTTCTAACTAGTCCTAACAGGTTAAGCCTTGGAAAAATGCCCAACTGTAATAAAATTCCAGGTGCAGATCTTGAATGGCACTAGGATGTGTAACATTCAAACAATTATAAACCAACAATGTCATTGCTAATTCAATTTGCCACTCTGCCAGTAATCCATGTCAAGAATGAAAGCTGAGTGAAATGAGGTTTCCTAGGCAATCACATAGCTGCATTCTGAACAATCTGCAATGGACAGAGAATATCTAATGAAAGACCCCTCACAGAGATAATTGCAAAACAAAACAGAATAAAAAATTTAAGCCTACAGTATTGGTACATGGGACTATTGAGAAAAGTTGGTAAATCTGCATGTCTGTGTATCCTTTTTTTAAAAGGAGAACTTTTCTATTTTCAGCCTTAAACTATCCAAATAATCCACAGGGAAAACAGCACAATAATGGTGCTACACTCTGAGAACACACATCACTGGTTTCTGATAACACTGCCAACCACCTGGGCATTGGTGTTTCAATCAGCACTATCAGGCTTTCTTGAAGGAGTCATCTCATCTTGCCATTTTCTGACTCTCCTCTAAAAGGTACAAGTTACTGTCTGTATTTTCCACCCACCAGGAACCTCAAATGCATTTAATACTAAAAGGTTAGAACTAGACATTCTTTCCTTCTAAAGTAGGACATTCTATGTTCTCATTTATAGTAATCATTTTCACACTTGGCATTCATATGTTGTGAATGTGAGAGAAAACGCTATTAAATTATATGGGTCTTCTCAGTAGACATGTATTACCTGGAGAACAATAATGCAGCGTCATAGAAATTAGATGTCTACATAGAATGGCAAAAAAGGCAAAAAGGAAAAGGAGAAAAGGGACACAGAAACAAAGGAACAGTAAAACCGCTTAGAGTCGCCTTGTATGGCTGATATAGGCGGTATACAAAAGGAGTAAATAAATAAATAAAACAAAGTGATTGTTTCAATTGGCTTAAATTCCATCTTTTTAATATATGACTTAATATAAGATTAACTATGTCTGATTATTGTTCAGCCTTGTATATAAGACAGAGGAAGCATCAGAAATGCAAGAGCAATTCTTAGGGCAGAAAAGCCACCATAATAAGTTTATGAATATTATACGGATCCAATGAAAATTCTGTTTAATCCTGGATATTGTATGCATCTAGTGAAAAATTATTAGATGACCTGTTTTTTTGTGAGCATTATAATGAAAATAAAAGTAACCTGGTAAACTATAGGGAATGTAATGAAATGTTAGTTATCATTAATGGTGAATGTCACACAATATTAAATTCCCCAAGTCATTTTTATTCACTGTAGTCAATTCTGCATAAAGAAATAATATGTTTCTCTCATGTACAAATGTCTTCAAATATAACTAATGGATTTAGGCCCCTAGTACACAGTTTTATAAAATCCAGATTATCTGCTTCGAACTGGATTATCTGGCAGTGTAGACTCAGATAATCCAGTTCAAAGCAGATAATGTGGATTATCTGTCTTGATATTCTGGATTCTATTGCAGTGTAGAAGGGCCCTCAATCAGTAGATCCAGGAGTGTGCAGAAAAAAGAGAGTAACACCATGTAGGGTTTGTTCCATGATTTAAATTCCATGGAAGATTACTCCTAGGAAGCATATAATATTGCTTGCATCCCAGTAGCAGTTGGAAAATTGACCAATCTGCTTTAGGCATGAAATGAAACTGGCTTTTTGATTTCTGACACAATTGAGATGAAAATGATTTATCAGGAAGAAAACTAGATTTCTTTGTGCATCTGCCCATGCCCTCTCAGTTTTCCTCTATCACCATGTTGATATACATGCATTTATCACCATGGTGTAATTTCAACTTTGCTCCCAAATATGCAAAGTTCTAGGCTATTTCTTTTCTTAATTAAACTAGGTTTTAAATTACATGTGTGTTGTGAAACTTTAGTGAATGCTGGAGAAATTATATGATAAGCTGGTATTTTCTTAGAACCAGACCAAAGTATCTAATGCATTTATTCTTTCTTCTGTCTGCCTGGAGTATATGAAGTATATATAATGGAAGATCACATAAGAAATAAGATGGAGGAAAAAATATCAAAGCATCTGTTTGCAATTTTGCCGGGAGATCTATTGATCTATCTAAACTGCTACCATGATTGGAGAAGTTAGTTGATACGTCTGGAACAATATCCACCAATCATATTCTGTGCGATTGGTTGATGTATCTTTGTTTCCATATGGCATAACTTTTCAAATCAGGATGTCTGAAGAACATGCATATGTTGTTGGCATATATGTACCATGAAAACGTGTTGTGGATTTAAGTGGTGACTATAGTAGCTTCCTGTTAACTCTGAAACACATTAAATATACTTATTTACTTTGACCAAATGTTTTTTGAAAATATGTCCTCTTGCTTTACAGAGAAACCTAGATAATAGGAAGTCTGACAGAAAAATATATAATCAAAACTCAGAACAGATAGCCAGATCTGAGATAAATTTGGTTTCTCACATCACGGCATCTGTTTCACACATCTGAACACAAAAGTATAAGGTAAGCATCCAATATATTTGCAATGTCACTTGGATTCCCAGGCCCATAACAACTAATATATAAAATGAAAAACACTGGCTTGAAGGTTCTAAAATCCGCCTCCTAAATTACAAGGTAGGAAGTATTTCAGCTTCCCCTTCACTTCCCAAGTGAGTCTTATGATGTAATTCCTTTCTTTGTCTATATCTATATCACTATTACAGTGAGGTGGCTTAATGCTGGCATTGGAATAAATCTTGTAATTAGCCCCTTTCCATGTAATCTTGCTGCTTTAAAATTGCCAGAATGGCTAGGAATACAGCCATAGAAAAGTAATAAATAATACGTTCTTCTGATAATGCCAGGGAGATTACCACAGTAAATTAACACCCCTTTACCATTTTCATCACACAGCTATCTCCTAAGGGAACAGTACAATCAGTAACAGGAATCACTTTAACTGACAGTTTCTAATTTTTAGAACATACTTTTATTCTTTTTAGGTCCCATAAAAATGCCTAGATTCATGGGAGCACAATGTTTGTTCAAATAGATTAAAAAATAAACAGCAATGCTGGTATGAAAGCCTTCTTGAAGTCTATGAAGCATGCCTTTCAATATTTCCTGCCTAGTGGGTTTGATTGCAAATATAGCTCATATAACATAGTTGTGAGAATAAGCCCCTTCTTGGTCTTGGATGAAGAAGTCTCAAAAGACAACTTATATTTTTATAGGTTTCAAGAGTCCAATCCCCCATAAATGCTCTAGGTAGTGATTCTCCCTTGAGAGTATACCAAATAAGCAATAGTTGCCATTGCCTGAATAACAATGAAATGGATAGTGAATTTTCTTTCAACACTATTTTGTTTAAGCACATTTAAGTAGAATGTATGCCATATATTTTAATACTACTTTGGATCAATGTCTAATGCAACTGGAAAAGTCTGTGAAAAAAGAAGTACATATGGACACAACCCACGCCGAAAAGAATTATTCATACAAAATCATAAGGTTATAATTGATTTATACTTCACTATCAATAATTCATGATTTTACTGAATTAACAAGTCAAGCACAAGCAGAAATTCATTCTAAAACGAACACAGTACAAGTATTTTTACTCTTATTCATGCAGGTGAATTGCTAAAACACAAGCTCTATTTTTAAAGTTAAGTGTAGCTTCAGTAATTTTAAAGCTACTCACATCACTTTCATGGCCTTCTCGAAGGTTGTATGTGAGATCATGTTGAATTTCTTCCACAAACTTGTGAGCATATTCTGGGTAAAGGTCTAACACTTCAAAGAGTCCTTTGAGAATAATACATTGGAGGTCACAGTAGGTTAGAGCTTTCACATCAGCATTCGTTTTAATCACTTGGTCCTTAATTGAAAGGTTTGCTCCAATTAAATCCCCTTTACCTAATGGAAAATATAAATAAAAGAAAACTATAATACTTTATTAACAAAATCTTTACTTTTTATTGCAACAGAGAACAACTTAAACACATAATACAGAATGCCCAGAATCCAATAGATAAAAGACACATTTTAATGGACAAAGCTTCTGAAAGTAATTTAAGACTAGTATATGGCGAATCTAGGTGAATATTACTAAAAACAGACTCTAAACTAGAGAAAATGTCTATGTATGATAATTTATCTTGATAAGTAGTCATTAGATGTCCGCAGTCTAAACAGCCCACAACTGCTACTTTAATATGTCATGTCTGAGTGTCAAACCATTGCATGACTTATATGGAGTTGAGTATCAGTTCATTTAAGGTCTAAAGAGGTAGCCTATGTTAGTCTATTGTAGCAAAAAAGAACAAGAATCAAGTGGCATCTTAAAGGTTAACAAATCTATGATCACATGGGTCTTATCATCAACCTGTCTACCTTTAGCATTGTTATCCATAGCACTCTTTCTTGCTTTTCGTTCAGTCATGGTAAACATATTGCAGCTGCAATATGTTCCATTATACAGTTTAATTAGATACAGTGTAAATGAATTAAAACCACTTCATTTATGTTTTGTGACTGAAACTGTCATTCTTATGATTTTGTTTTCATTATCGTACCATGAAGCACTCAATTCATAGTCATATCACACATTCCTTATGTATGAGCCATTTTGTTAATGTCCCAAATAATTCTGGTTATTCTTATTCACCTTAAAGGCTCCCAGCCCTTTATCACAGACAGAACTGTCTTTAATGATTTTCACATACTTTCCCATTGTAATATCGATGCTGTGACTAACATTTGTATGGACATGTGCAATGTTACATATTCACATCAATGAAAAGAGCTGAATTGTGCATACAAAAAGGAATGATTACTTTTTCTGGCTCTTGGAAATTAATGGACAGGAAATATGGATGCACTGTTATGTGCACATAAGAATTTGAACAAAGGTGTCCATAAAGCCAAATAGTCATGAACTTTTTTTTTGTCGTGTCAGGAGTGACTCCTGGTGTGAGAGAATTGGCTGTCTGCAAGGACCTTGCCCAGGGGACGCCGGGATGATTTTGATGTTTTTATCATCCTTGTGGGAGGCTTCTCTCATGTCCCCGCATGAGGAGCTGGAGCTGATAGAGGGAGCTCATCCGCCTCTCCCCGGATTCGAACCTGCGACCTGTCGGTCTTCAGTCCTGCCGGCACAGGGGTTTAACCCACTGCACCACCAGGGGCTCCTTTTATAGTCATGAACTAAACTAAGGTACATATAATCCTGTTTTAGGGCATACATATTTATTTATGTTGTACATTTATACCTTTTAGCCAAAAAGGTGTCTGGATTGCTTATAAATAGTCTATTTGGCAATCCTTGACCTCAGGCTTACAACCAAATGACATATGACATACAAGCAAGAAGAGAATCAGGAGAGAAGAGGGGGAAATGATTCACTAGTGGTGTCCTGTTCTTCCTGACAAGTTTTACTGGTTGGAAAAATCTTTTTTCAGTAGAAAAATGAATGGCAGCAAATATTCTTTCCATCCCTGTTCAGAGAACCACTTCCTTCTTCTCCTTCTCTCTGTTTGTGTGTATGTCTCTGTCTTTCTTACTTTCAGCAACACACAAAAACTTACCTAGGATTGCCAGCACCATGCTGTCTTTAAGAACTTCCATTGAACCTGAGCACACAAAATAGACTGCCTGCAAGGCATCTCCCTGCCGGAGGAGGTACTCCCCAGGAGCACAAAAAGAGGTTTTGATATGCAGAGAAAGAGACCTGAGGCAACCGCGGCTGGCACACTCAAAAAGGGACAGCTGCAGAATCTCCTTGTTCAAGTGCATGGTGATGTCTGAGCGCAGCTCATCTGGAAAGTCCTTTAAAAGCTGCCCAGAAAGGGAAGACAAGTTTCCTATTCAATATCAACAGTTTATTCTTCCACCAAATGGATATGTTTACAAATTTATAATTTCCATATATTTATTTTATAACTTGAAGTATACTTAGCACTTCCTATCTTATGTTTGCAAAGGGGTGTTTAGAGGTTCCAGTCCAATTTTCTTGCTCCCCTCTTTTCTTCTTAACCTCTGGAATGTAAGGAGCAGCAGCTCAGCTGTAATTTCCCTCCTGATCTTTTAATGCTCAGGAACCTTAGTAGCAGTACTTCAAAAAACTATCTCTTGTTTACGAACGGCCCATTTTGTTTACTGTAAAAAGTCTGGAATTTTAGTCCAAAAATCAACCCCAAAATTTGAGTCAACATATTTACAGTTCAATGTAAGTACTGTACTCTAAGTAGATTACCAGAGATCAAGGATTTAGCCTATTCCTGGAGAACCTAAAAGAAGCACTAATTCTCTGTACCCTCTCTATCACAGTGCTGCTTCTGCCTTTTTGAATGTCTGGGTGGAGATGGCAGCAGTAGCTTTCAGAGATGGATTCTAGAAGCACTGCTAGCACTTTCCACTCTATGTGGAATGACCCTTGACTTATCCAGATATCAAAATCCATCATTTTGGTCCCAAAACTTGCCCTCAACTTATACATGAGGCCAATTTCTATACAAGTATATACATTAATTCCAACTCATTCTGTTGATTTATGGCAGGCTGCCTTGGACATTTCAATATGAAGAACTGAAACTATGAAAAATATTGTCAAATTTAGAGGTGTCTACAACATTATTCGAATAAGTTATGGTTGCCCCATGTTTTGTTTATAATACCACCCCCCCTCCCCAAATTATTTCTAAATCTGTGGTGTGACCACACTTGGAATAATATATAAATTTCTGGTCACTGCACCTAAGTAAAGATATTATAAACCCAAAGAAGGTACAGAAAGGGGCAAGCAAAATAATCATGAGGTTGGATCAATTCCCTTATTAGGAAAATTTACTAATTTTAACTTAGAGGAAAGGGGACATGAATGGAGAAATGAAGAGATGTATAAAATGATATGTGGAGTGGAAAGAGAAAGTGTGCATCTACACTGTGGAATTAATGCAGTTTGACATCATTTTAGCTGCCACAGCTCAATGCTATGGAATCATGGGAGCCAAAGTTTTGCAAGGTTATTAGCCTTCTCTGCTAATGAGTGCTGGTGCATCACCAAATTACAAATCTCAGGATTCCACAGCATTGAACTATGATGGTTAAAGTGCTGTAAAGCTGTATTAATTATACAGTGTAAAACCGGACAAAATCTCTTTAATAGTACTAGTACCTATGGTCATTTGCTGAATGGCGAGAGATCCAGGTCTGATAAATGGAAATGTTTTTTCTTCACAAAGCACATAGTGAATCTCATGAACTCAATCCCACAAGAAGTAGTTATGGTTTGCAAGTTGAATGTTTTCAACATGGGACTGAATAAAATAATGTAAAATGGGGTTATTAATCACTACTAGTTAGGATGTCTATATATCACTTTCAGATGGAGGCCGCAATCACACTTTTCTCCTGCTAATGGGTCTCTTCTAGGCCATCAGGTAGTGATTGCCAATTATATGAACAGAATGTTGGACTAGACAGGACTTTGGTCTGATTAAACATAGCTATGTTAGTCATCCTATTGATTGGAATGTGCCTGCTCTATACAACTGTAAAAATATCGAGTACCATTTAAATTATTCTAGAAAAACAATGGGGACAGATAAAATATAACCAGGAAAAAAATCAATAAAAGAAAGTATATAATTACCTCATTGGAATCTATTCCATTGTTTACTGACCATGTAGTTTGGAAATATTCAAGCATCCTTTGCTTTAACTGCTGTGGGAGATGATGGACCCTTATAAAGTCCTTCAAATCCTTGGTTCTTGTGTGATAAAGGGACCATCTGGAGTACATCCGTTGAATTATAGCAGTTACATTACCAAACACCAAGGCATGCATCAAGGCTGTAAAAATAAGAAAGTATACTGATGTAGTAAAATATATTACTGTCTCCAAAAATGAAACTAGAGATTCAGTGCAAAACAAAGAACTTGCTTGTTAGTTAAATCAGTAACATGAGATGGGAAACTTATGATAAAGAATGGATAAACTCAGTTTGATAGCTGAATTCAGTGGGCTACATCCAATAGTTGCTCCCATTTACAGTGAATTTAGTGAATCATTTGAGCTGTTCAATTGATTAGTATTTGATTAATAAGCATTATGCATTTAATGCATGGCTTGGAACCATGTGGCCTTCCAAGTGTGTTAGGCTGTAACTCCTAGCATTGCCCACTATTATCTTGGGGAGCTTCTACAAAGCCACATAATCCAGATCGGAATGCAGATTAAAGAAATCCAGTTCCACTTTGCCGAGTCTCCACATACACTCTGGGAACTGTGAAAAAGTTCCCAGAGTATATGTGCATCCATAAAGCTCACCTTGTGCCAAATCGATCCAACAGAATGATTTAGAAGGAGAACTTTTTATGCTGTTCTTGAATACAATCTCAAAAACTCTAATATGGAGTCATTGTTAAGTTTAATGTGGATATCTGAAATCAGTCATGTAGATGATTTAGGTAAGTGTAATATGTTGTCATGTCAGTATAAGTGAAATCTTAAGTGGTTTGCTGCAGTAGCAGAAAGATGGCAAGAAAACTAGTTGGGTGCCAGTGGGGCAGCTTTCTGCCTTGATACCTAAATTGTCTGTATAGATAGAGTGTCTAAAGCTATTTTATTACTGATTTCCTTCTTATCTCCACTGTGGCACTACATAAGTCAAATGGATGAAAGCTAAGATATCTTCCTGTGTTAGAGGCTAATAGTGGGTGTTGGGGGTGGGAGAGAATTCATTAAGATCACCTTTAATGATATTCAGATAATTATAGGTGAGTCAATAGGAACTGAATCAGCTCTGTGGTTCATGTTTCCTACAATCAACATGATGTGATAGATCCCTGTGACACAGCTCCTAGCTTTTAAAACATCAGTGATAATACAAAGTCTGTATACCTTTGTTCACCAATCAAAATGTATGAAACCTGTATCTCAGCTATCCATCAGGTAATTCTTTATGATGAACAACATCTAGTCCCCAACCTCATTTTTGCAAACAGCAATCTCTCCAAAACAGGTCCAATGCAAATATTTATAGATATGCTCCATTTTAAAAATAATTTATTGGATGGAAATAATGTCCCAATATCCACAAACCCACTTAAAAATGGGTGGTTTGAGTGGTTCTTTCCAAGCCCTGATGGAAATGGGAGTAAACCAGCTGGTTTTTCAGATGAAAAGTAAATGTGGATGTGACATCATTTCCTTTTTATCCACTCAAAGTGTACCACTGCTACAGTTGCCCAACCTTCATTTAATACCACACACAAGCCTAGCTCCTAGAGCTAGCATTGAATTAACTGGATTTGTGGAGTTTGGAAATGCTGCATGGCCATTGCTTACTGGAGGATCCTGGGAGCTATAGTTTAAAATATTCTATTACTTTGAGAGGGAGAAGTTAGGGGGAAGGTTCTTACATTTACAGATATTTTCTTTAAATTGTGTTAATGAAAGATAAAGTATATTTTTTAAAAAAAGAAGGTGTGGGAATGCAGTGTAGATAGTGTAGAAGTACCTGCTGAAAAGCCAACATTAATATTCCATTAATCAATAGCTATAACAATTCTAGCATTGTGAAAAGTGGTATGAAATTTGGATGGGAATAAATTTTGCATACTAAGTTAAACTGCCACACATTTTCAAAACCCGAAAATTTCTTTTCAACTGTAGTTACCTTCAGGCTCCAGGTTTGTTTTTAAAAGGACTTTTTGATTACTTGACTACTTGGATTCCATTCTCATTTGTTTTCAGTTTTGAATTCAAAATGTTTTGTTCCTCATTTTCCTCTACAGAGAAAGCTTGCACCAATGTTGTACAGTATGTTTTCATATTCGACTTGCTGCATAATATGTTCACTTACCCCCAATCAGCATTGTGCAAATAGAGAAAATCTTTTCAGCATCGGTATTGGCCGACACATTGCCAAATCCAACACTGGTGAGGCTGCTGAGTGTGAAATACAGGGCAGCAATATAGGCACTTCTGAGTGATGGGCCTCCAAATGTGTTATTGCCTTGGTATGGAGACTCCAAGCGTTTTCCCAATTCATGAAGCCAACCTAGAGACAAAGAAACAGGGCCCATGGAGAGTAGAGAGTTACTAGAATATAAAACTTCATTTTAGTTATAACTTCAAAATACTAAAAGTCCCAAAAGAGAATTTTATTTATTTTATTCTAAACAGGCTTATATGTATCATCATAAGAAATACCTTGTTGCCCCTGCAATATCTGCTGAGTATTTCTGAGGTTTGGTTCCAGGACCATCTTATGGATATCAAAATCTGTAGATGCTCAAGTCTCATTATATACAATGACATGCTTTCAAGCCATGGATGGTTGAAGGCAAATGAAAGCAGGGACATAGCACTACATTCCGAAGTCCAACACTTGTATTGATATTTACATGCCCATGGAGGGCTCCAAAAAGAGAGGTTACTGCATTACAATGCTAAATCCTTAAACATATGTCAGGATTTGAAGGTTTTTTTTGTGGGAGGGGCAAAAAGCAAAAGCAAAAGAGAGACAGGTTGGGAAGGAGGGAGAAAGAAGATAAGTGAAGCTAGGAGAAGTGATTAGAAGTAGAGAGATACAGCAAAAGAGAGATATAGAGAAAGATGCAAAAAGCCAAATTAGGTAGGAGAGAGGAAGAGAAGGGAAAGGGAAGGCAGAGAGATTAAGTGCAAATAGATGTGGGATGAAAAGAGAAGGACAGGAAGCGAGAAGGAAATGAAATACATTTAGTTGGAGTTTTGGCCAGAGGAGGAAGAAGGAACAGATTTTTTATCCAAGAGTTGGAGAAGGCTACATAAAAGGACATGAGACAAAAACACTAAGGAATGATGGAAAACTGATTTTAAGAGGGAGCTGAAGTAAAATGGTAATATGCTTTTTATTGTGGAAATAGATTCTGTTCCATTATCCGGGCAAACTCCAAAAAAGGGCCTAGACAGAGAAGGATAGTCGATTTTATGGGGGGGGGGAGCTGAAGAGGGGACACCCCCTTTCCCATATCATAAAGAACAGTTGTTTCAATGACGGCACATCGGTGGGGGGAATAGGAAAACAGGGGGAAATGGTTTAACTCCTTCAAACCTTTCCCACTGTTAAATAGACTATCCTTCTCTGCCTAGCGTCCTCTTTTCATTTCTACCCAGATAATGGAACAGTACCCAGAAAAGTATTCTTCTTTTCGTTATGATGCACACCTATGAAAGGAAATAATATGTCAGCGTCAACCACATCAGGTAGTGTAAGGAAGATGAAAACATGTTGAAAAAGCTACAAACCAACAATTGTGTATCTCATATTTAGTGACCCTGCAGTAGTTAATCTATCTACAGTGTTCCCTCACTTGTCGTGGGAGTTCCATTCCAGGAGCGCCCGCAATAAGTGAAAATCCGTGAAGTAGGGACGCTTTGTCCACTCGAGTGGGTGGAGGGTTCCTACTTCAGGGTGACCTCCTCTCCTCACTGTCTCTGTTGCTCCTCACCTCAGATGCCCTTTTTTCGCCAGGCTGGGTGCCCAAGGGGCCTCTGAGGTGGGGAGTGGCGGAAGCAGTGAGGAGGAGGAGGCTGCCATTGAAGAGGGCCCCTTGAGTGTCCAGCCTGCCGAGGAAGGGGCTCTGAGGTGGGGAGCAGTGGAGGTGGGAAGATGAGTAGGTCACTGCTGAGGCCCTCTTTGGCAGCGGCCTCCTCCTTGCCACCTCTACTGCTCCCCGCCTTGGAGGCCCCTTCCTTGCCAGGCTGGGCACTCAAGGGGCCTCTGAGGCAGGGAGCAGTGGAGGTGGGGAGGAGGAGGAGGCTGCTGCTAGAGGGCCTTGGTGGTGGCCTCCTCCTCCTCACCACTTCTGCTGCTCCCAGCCTTGGAGGCCCCTTGAGCATCCAGACTGGTGAGGAAGGAGTGGGGAGCAGTGGAGGTGGTGAGAAGGAGGAGGCCACCACTGAGACCCTCTTCAGTGGTGACCTTCTCCTCCTCACCACCTCTGCTGCTCCCAGCCTTGGAGGCACCTTCCTCAACAGGCTGGGCACTCAAAGGGCCTCCGAGGTAGGGAGCAGCAGAGGCGGTGAGGAGGAGGAGGCCACCGCAAAGTAGGGATGCTCCATCCTCGTCCTCTTCACCGCCTCCACTGCTCCCTGCCTCAGAGGCCCCTTGGGCGCCCAGCCTGGCAAGGAAGGAGCGAGGAGCAGCTATACAGAGTTGCCTCACTGCTGACCCTGCAAAACAATGAGTCCACAATAAGTGAACCATGAAGTGGTGAGGGAACACTCTATATCCTTCAGTATTCCCATTGGGCCCAGTCCCAACTGTGATACAACAATCAATCCAAAGCAGTCTGCAGCAGCAGTGACCCACAACAACAACAACAAGAAAGACTACAAACGTATTATACATTTTTCTTAAAAAGCACCTTCTACCAGAGATTCCTTCTCCCTACTTTGAGGACTGGAGAACAGGCTCCATATTCTGATCTCAAGTATTATTCCCATATTGTCATCACATGTGAGTATATGTGTGAAAGTGTAGTCCTGGCCTAAACCATTTAGGATTTAATGTGCACCTCGGCAACTTTCACTCTAATCGTACATAATGAACAGAAGAATGTATAGTAGGCTCCACAAAAATTCATGTCTTCTGGAGCAGGAGCTATACCTTCTGATTCTCTGGGTATTCCTATATCCATATTTTGTATAAAAGAAAAGCATTAGAGAGAAATAGAAATAAAGTGAGGGATGTGTTTGAAATGCAACTCCTTGGAAATAGGAGCGCTCACCAGGTTATATATGTTCTTCTTATTAAATACACCATATACACTCATGTAGAAGTTGACGTTATGAGGGTAGGTTTTGATACAATCTGTTGATAAGTCCAGGGTCATTTTACAGAGAGTGGAAGGCATTAATGCTGTCAGAAGGGGCCAACAACACCTGACTGCCACTACAATTTCCCCTATCAAAAATGCCAGAAGCTATGGGGGAGAGAGTAGAGTTTGGTACTTCTGTTACATTCTCCCAAAACAAACTTACTCTCATCTTTTGCCACTCTATTTAGAGATGGCTCCTTTTTTATCAGGGTTAAGGTACTGAATTCACATTGGCCCAGGTTTAGGGGATGATTTTTTAAACTCAAATTTCTACACTACACATGAGTATGTAGGGTAAGTAATTTACTAACAGGCAGTGTGACTTAATAAACTGTGTAGCATCAGCATTTATGTCTCTTTAGAACAGCTTTGTCATGATTTTATTCCTACAGCTCCTACTTTCTGAAAGCTCATAACTAACTAAATTTGATAGTTCGATCAACTGTGAAATACATTAAGGCGTAAGAATGTATGAACACTAAAAACAGAGACTGCTGAGTTCTGGCCTTGAGATGGACATCTTTGGGGACAAAATTATGCACATAACCCCCTGCCAAGGACAGCAGTAAAGGCTTCAGAAGCACACAAGGCAGGCATGTAGCCGGGGGGGGGGGGGGGCTGGAGGGGCTTCAGCCCCCCCCCCCGAAATTCTCATGGTGGTTCGCGAAAAGGCCTTACTGGTGCATTATTTAAACTGTTATGTTTATTCATATCATGATCTGATCACCATACTCAATATATCCCATATGCATGGGGGTATTGGGGTAATGATACAAAAGGTTTGCTAGGCTAGACCCTCTTTCACTCAGACTCAGCCCCCTGAAACTCAGCCCCCCCTGAAACCCCCCCTGAAAATTTTTCCCCAAATCCCCCGAAACGAAATCCTGGCTAGGGGCCTGACACAAGGCTAGAAAGAATAAGATGAGCAAAGGCCATCCCATAGTAAAGCGGTTCTGGACATTACAATATAACAGGCTATGTTCATAATTTCCTGCATTCCTATGTCTTTATTCCCTTGTATGGGACAGGCCAGTGGGATTCATTGATTTAAACTAATGGTTCTGAGACAGGGGACCCATCTACACATAATCAGGCCTAATTAGAATAGCCATATCCTGGACACACCCCAGGGGCTGCTATATAGCCTGTGTCCATCCTGCAGTGATGGCAGAATGGAGTCCAGATGATGCAGTAGGGCCCCACCAGACTATCTCCTTATCTGTGCTGCCTCTGTTGCTGCTTCCACACAGCCACATAGCTGCAGAGGGCTCCTGGCCATTATTGGGCACTTTTACTAACATCAGCAAAGGGACATGCATGACAAATAGGGGAAACAAACTGTATTGTAAGCTGTCTTGAATCCCTATGGGGAGAAATGTGGGGTAGACATAAAGATGATGATTAACAACAACAGAATAACTTTGGTGCTCTGTGGCTGTCTGCCATGATGATGGGGGGCATAGGACAAATTAATCCCCCTTTCCCTGTGCCAATGAGCAAGTTGCATGACTGAGGGTAGCCAATGAGCTAAGGATGGGGCACAAAAAGGAAGAAAAGGTGGAAGAGGAAGGACAAGGGTAGAATCCCTTCTTCCTCTGCTCCAGTAAAATCGTTTTCTCAATCCATCCACCCCACTCAGAGAGAAGAAAACCAGCCTCTGCTTTCCCCTTTCATTTTGCCATTCTGACCAAGCACCCCCCCCCCTTTTGTTCTGTGGTCAGAACAAGGCACTCAGATATGAAAGCAATGATGAGGTGATCATTCAACTGACCCCCTCACTGTTGATTGCATGGCTGGGCATCTTTGCAGGGAGGTGCTTGGCTGATAAGACTGTGATGATGGTCTTGAGTAGAATGAAAGATTTGTTTCAAAGGTAATGGTCTCAATCTACTCTCTCACATTTTATCTCGTGGCTGGAATTGGCTGGGGAGTGACAATACAATAAAAATAATTAACAGGACATACTGTATTAATATTAAACATACACTTCCCAGCAAGTTTTTTTTTAAAAAATGGAGATGCCTGCCACTCATCAATCCGCGATGACCCCCCATGCCCCAATGCCACTCCAATCCTGGGGGACACACTAGCAAAATAACATTTGCCCTGGAAACCGAACAGAAAGAAGCGAGTTTTAAAAAATGAAAGTCTAAGAAAATCTTTTCTATATTAAACAGCCATATACTATGTATTGCTA